AAAAAACAAATCATTTAAATAGGGATACAGTTGGACCCTTGTAACAATGAAATGTACAAGACGTTATATCAAAAAACAATCTTTACAACTATGGCCAAGTTGGGGTGGGAGGGAAGAGGGGGATGTCGGGAGGAGATCGGAAGGGATGGGAAGGGGAACAAAGGAGGAGGCAATAATGCTTAATAAGAAATGTACTCATTACCTTGCCCATGTAATTGTAACCCCTCCTTACGGTATTTTCACAATTAAAAAATATACATATTCCATAAAAATATTTTAATAATGAAAAATGAGGAAATTGTCAAATGTGATGAGAAGCCAACTGTATTTTATGCCCATTGACCAACTTTGTGGTGTTTTCCCTATCAAGTAACAAAGATAATTTTACATTCCGCTGTAGAAACTTGGATCCATAAGTATATTTCAACAAGGAATGTGATGGTTATAAGCCATCAAGTTCTTTCCACAGAGCAACTTAATTTCCAAGAAAAAATAATGGAGCTAAGAAAAATCAAACAACCATTACCTTAGAATAGAATTGAAGTGAAGATCATCAGTAATGGAACTGAGTGAAAACAGGGACTTTCAAGTGGATATCCTGGGAAGAACTCAGAAGTACTGCTGTACATTCCTCTAAGCATGGATTCTTGAGTCTAACGTTGATGGAAAGTGCACAAGTCCACACCAAAGGACATTCAGGAGTATAAGTGGTTGTGATCCTCAAGACTGATAAGATCAGGGGACTGAAGAGACTTTGGAAGATTTCCAGGGAAGAGGAGGAAAGGCAGATCTAGGACAATATGACCTAGACTGAACTATTATGTGACAAAAAACAATGGGGGATAATTGTCAGTATTTGACATGAGGCTAAGAAAGAATTAGACTTGTATATTAAGGTTATCTTCCTAGGGTACGAATGCTGATTTCTTATTTGTTGCAAATAAATAGAAATACACAAGAGTATGTTTCTTACTTCTTCAATTTGCTTCAGATGGTTCAGGGAAAATCTACTTTGTGTTGTACTTTTAATATTTCTTCTTGAAATAGTTTCCCTTTAAAAACTCAAACAGCACTTGTTGAGTACAGACTGAAGATGTTCTAACATCTTTAATAAGGTGGCCTTGTCTCATTCTTATAGGCATTAAAAACAGTAATTAGCCTGGCATGGGTAGCTCACACCTGTAATCCTAGCTACTTAGGCTGAGATCTGAGGATCACAATTTAAAGGTCGTTTAGGCAAGACAGGCTGTATGACTCTTGTATTCAATTAAGCACCAAAAAAAGCTGAAAGTGGAGCTGTGGATCAAATGGTGGAATGTTAACTCAGAACATAAACGTAGGGACAGTGCCCAAGCCCTGAGGTCAAGCCCCAGGACTGACACTACACACAAAATAACAATATTCCTGTTATATTTTTTCTTTTTCCAAGTACAATTTAAGACCCAGAACTGAATCCTGCATTTTGAAAAACAGGAATCCCTGGGTCCTACAAGACTCCCTGACAAGAAATCCTCCATTCATGGTCTCAGAGAAGCCTATGTGGGATATGATCCTGAGTTGCAGAAAGAGCACGGAGGAGAGTGATTAAGGATAAAGATGGAGGCAGTGTGATTAATGGTGTAATCCGACTACCTGCCTGCAAGTGATAATCAGAATTTGGGCAATCATTGTCTGACTGGACAGTGTCAGAAAGTACTCTGTGCACAGTGAGTGGTCTCAGAAGCACTTGTGAGTAACAGTTCAAAATCAGCTGATACTGATTAGCATCATTGGACACCTTCACATTTCTGTTCTCAATTTTTTTTCTATAAACCTTAGTTACAAATAGCATTCTTATTTATTAAATAACATGTAATTCTCCAAAAAGAATATCTATGATGCAAAGTGTGTGGGCACACATACAGCCACTTAAAGCATATTGACCATCATCAGTACCAATTTTGATGCTATTGTTTTTATTTGTTGGGACTGAAGTTTGTATTCAGGAATTCAAACAATCTTGGTAAATGACCACATTCCAGCACTTTGACTCTAGCACATTTTTGAGGGAGAATCCCATGCTTTGTTCTGAGGGTGTTCACAGAACCCAGTACTCTTACCTATGCATTCCATATTATCACAGTTACAGGCTTACAGGTGTGAGGTTTGCTAAATTTTTGCCCTGGCTGCTGAGGAAAAACATTAAAACAACACTATTTTTTACCTGCCTCTATTTACATTTTATTGGAAAGGTGACATATGGAGGACTTATAGTTACATGAGTCAGGTAAATAGTACATTTCCTTTTAAACATTGCCACATCTTCCTTCCTTTCCTCCCAATGTTGCCTTTGGAAATTTGAAATCATCTTTGGAACTCCTCATTTTACAGTATTGAGACCTCCATGTGTCCAGTGAAATACGACATTTAGGGAAGAGTGAGGCATGGTGCTTCCATAATCATAGCTAGCTGGAAACCAGTGAACCTGACAGGGCTCATTGTGACCCCAGAAGCACATGGCCTTTTGCTTGCCCTGGTTCAGATGCATGTTTTTTTTTTTCTTTCTTGCAGTTGTTTCTAACATATTTATAAGATGATTTCTTTGATGCTTTGTATGTCCCTCCCCCATCGTATAACCTCTGGTTTCACTGTATTTGATGCTGGTATAATTTGTGGAGGGGAAGGGAAAAAGAAATTGCTTAAATAGGGATACAGGTGGACCCATTGCAACAATGAGATATACAAGACGTTATGTTGAAAAATGAACTTTACAACTTTGGCCGGGCAAGGGGGTGGGGGGTGTCGGGCAAGGGGTGGGGGGAGATGGAAGGGGAAACAAAGGAGGAGGCAACAATGCTTGATAAGAAATGAGCTCATTACCTTGCCCATGTAATTGTAACAACTCCTTACGGTAGTTTCACAATAAAAATAAATAAATAAATAAATTTAAAAAGAAAATCTTATAGTGCAGATTTAAAGAAAAATGAATGAGACAAAGGATGCCTGTTTTCCCTTATGTATGGAAGCCAGATTTAGCGTATAAATTCATTAGTAAATAGGTTAGTTGGTATACAAATACATACAAATATATTCATTGGAAGATGGTAGATTCCACACAGCACTCTAGTATAATCCCTTAGAATGGCGAAGTCAAATTTCAACAAAACAACAGTAGAGGGCAGGCACTTGAATGGAATGGAGTGGGATCAAGGGCAAAGGGGAAGAAGAATGAAGCTGAGAAAAGGAGAATGGGGATAAGAATTCACTGCAAAGTCAGGTGCTGGTGGCTCACTCCTGCAATCCTAGCTACTCAGGAGACTGAGATCTGAGCATCTCAGTTCAAAGCCAGTCTGGTCAGGAAAGTCTGTCAGACTCTTACCTCCAACAAACCACTAGAAAACCAGAAGTGACACTGTGTTTCAAGCAGTAGAGCAATCACCTTGAGCTGAAGAGCACAGGGACAGCACCCAGATTATGAAGAGTGCACAAAGAGTGGGTAGGGATGGATAGTGAGAATGTTTTAAGGGATGACATTGATCAATTTGCATTGTATTCATAACTTGCTTATTTATTTTTTTATTGTGAAAATACTGTACAGAGTGGTTACAATTACATGGGCAAGATAATGAGTACATTTCTTATCAAGCATTGTAGCCTCCTCCTTTGTTTCCCCTTCCCATCCCTTCCCATCCTCCTCCCACCCTCCCAGCCAACTCCCGCCTCCCTGACAAATTTGTAAATTTTGTTTTCCTCATAAGGACTTTTACATCTCATTGTTGCAATGGGTCCACCTGTATTCCTATTTAAATGATGTGTGGTTTTTTAAATGGCAATTCTTTTGTACAACTGCTTAAACATTAAAAATTGGGAAACAAAATTAATGATGGAATGGTAAAGTAGGTCCTCTCTGGGTATGGGTACTCATTGGATAGAGAGAGAAAAAAAAGTTAAAATAGGCAAATATGGTAAAAATATTATATGAACATATAAAAATGTTTCTAATGAACATTTAGAGTTGTAATTGTGTAGTGATAGAAACCATACGACTCTAAGAAGTGAGGGTATGTAATGTATAAAAGAGCCAGATTATGATATTCAAGGAAGGACCGCAAAACTGTTCTGAATTAAAAGCAGACTGAGATCTAGGCCAGTTAAGGCAACCTGTAAGTGGGTCCTTTTGTCACAAATGCTGTTACAATTGTCAAAGTCAAAATGGTCTTGCAGTCCACAGGGCATGATTTAGGATACCATCATTTTATTGGGTCAGATTAGAGAATGCCCTGTTTTTAAGAAATTTTTAGGGTGTAAAACTATGAGGGCATATTCTGAAATGAATGAGAACAAAATGCAATTTTTTACTACACTTACAACCCATCTGTAAAGGTAAAAATGTTTCAAATAATTTGCAATATAAAATAAAATTCCTTAACCATATGCTGAAATTATTTTTGCTTTGTAAGAAAAATCACTTTTCTACAAATGTCGAAGATAATACTGTTTCCTCAAATATATGACCCTTACAAAAGCCATATGCTCCTTAATGCCCACCTAATAATTGCCTAAGTATTGCTCTTTGTTTAGGGACCTCCATATTCTGTCCTTTGAGTGTGGTCTTATTCAGCAACCTGGAAGTTCTTACCAGTAATGCTAAACATATTTGTCAAAGAGAAATTAATTTTTCACTTCTTCCAGCCAAGCAAGATGGAACCAGGATTAAGATAAACCTAAAACCCTGGACTCGTCATGATCTATTGCAAAACAATGACTCCCAAGTAAAATTCAAATCAACATCACATCACTGAGTTTGGAAACATAGAGAGGAAGAGAAAAGGCAGAGATCAAAAGTTCCACTAGGAATGTAAGAATGCCAGAAAGTCCTGACACCTGATGGATCATGAAGGACCCTATGAAAAATGCAGTGTCTTCATTCAAGTCCCGATCTTCTATTGCAATTGGAGCCTTATAATGTCACAACAATAATCAGAGTGTCTTGTCAACCAGAAAGAATTTGGAGACCCAGAAAAAGTGGTATCACTCTTTAATATATTTCATTGCTCCCAGAAATTCGACCCCTCACATAGTGCTCCTTCAGTCATTCTGACAGAGTGGGCAATTCAAGTATCAAATTTCCTTGGATTAATGGGGGAGAATGATGCAAGGGCTGACATAATGTATTGAACTCGTAACCTGATTTGGAGAATGGTAAATTCTTATGCAAATACTTAAAATAATGAAAACATAATTTACAAGGTATCAATTATTTTCATCATCATTACCGCTGGGCAACAAAAGTTTCAAACTAAAAAGTTCAAGCCTAAATTTCATAGACTCTGTGTGTTTCTTCATTAGATCTATCCTGTTCATAGGATAGATAACAGCAGTAGTCCATTCCCCAGGTCCACAGTGGGGCCAACCTTGCTGCAGGGGAAGAGAACTCAGATGCTCCTCTATTCTTGTTTGACTTCAGGTTTGAAAGCCTGCACAACTGCCCACTTCTGGCAAATCCACTAGATAGTATGTTGATTAGCAACAAAATGTGTAGGTGATGTTCTTGGAGTAAACTGGCTTCCCTTGTTCCTGTGTGGAGTGGGTACTCTTGCTGATGATTGTAAATATGAATAACAGGCAGAAAAGTGCACATTCTAGAATGTCAAATTACACATTCTTAGAAACTGTTATGGAGTAGATTCCTGCAAAGCTTCAAGAAACAGATCCAACAAGGCCACTGCTAATTAAGCCTGTGGAAGGATCCCCAACACCTGTAGTTTCAGTTTCAAGCGACTCCCTAGGGAAGAAGGATATTCTTGTAACTCAGAAGGATTACAACTCTGCAGCAGTACAGCTACAAGAGACAAGGGCTCTTGGCCTGCAGCCATTCTGTTATCTCAAACCACCAATCTGATCTTGGATATAGATGCAGTGCACATTTTTCCATAAACAAATTCACATTTTGTAAAACATCAGGAGAAATACATGACCACAGAATACATTGCAAACATATTCTTTACAAGCAAAAATTACTTACCTCAATTCAGATGATAGGGAAACCCAAACCCACTTGTTGGTTCTCCTTCAGAAGTCTCAAGTGTAATCCCAGGACTAAATTAAAATGGTGAATCCAAAGTAGTATTTCATGTATAGACTTTTAAAGAAAATAATAATCTTATTTGCAATAATTAGTATAAGTTTAGGACAAGCAAAAAAGGTCAAAAGCTATGTACATATGACCATATAAGATGATATTAAGTGAAATGAACCCCAAGATAGGGACACAAATTATTTTTTTCTTTCTTGCTATTGTTTATAATGTATGTATAATGTACTATGTGATTTTGTTTGTTTCATTGGTATGTTCCTCCCCCATGGTATAACCCCTGTTTTCACTGTATTTTATTTCAGTGCCCTGCATATTGTATATACATTTTTATAATTTGGGGAGGGGAAGGGAAAAACAAAATGTTTAAATAGGGATACAGGTTGACCCATTGTAGCAATGAGATGTACAACACACTATGTTGAAAATGAACTTTACACGTCGGGGGTTGGGGGGGGGGAGTTGAGGGGTAAGGAGGGGTGGGGGGTTAGTTGAAGGCATGGGGATGGAAGGGATGGTAGGGAAAAATAAAGGAGGAGGCAACAATGCTCAATAGGATATGTACTCATTACCTTACTCATGTAACTGTAACCCCTCTGTACAGTATTTTTACAATAAAAATGTATAAAAAAAGATGACTACTGATACATTACATACGGAACCCATGTTTTTCCTTACTAAATCTCCACAATCCAGGTTCCCCAGTTCTTCCTTTAAGATCAGGTCTGTAAAGGTTTAACTACATGATTTAATACACTGTTACTTTGTTGCCTGTTGATAAATTAGAACAGAACAGAAAAATGTGGAATGATGTGATCCAATAAAGAAGGTTGAGGGGATTGGGAGATGAGACATTATCATCTCCATTTAAATTCCCTTTCAAAACTAGGCAAATTCAGTTTGTAGGAATGCAAGTTAGCATAGCCAGTATGGAGGACAGAAAGGAAGTTACTAAAATACCTAAAAAGAGACATACCAGATGATTTGGCTACCTCACGCCCGGGAAACATCTGAAATAAAGCCAACACACAAAAGTGATATTTATAAAGGAATTTCTGCATATATAGATTTATTGTGATACTGTTCTCAGTAGAGAAAATTTGAAATCGGTCAATTGTCCTAGAATCAATTAGAAAGTAGTGATGAACTGGCCCATATATGTCTGTCTGTCTGTATATATGTATATATATACACACATATATATATGTACACATACATATACATATATGCACACATATATATGTACATATACATATACACACATATATGTGTGTATATATATATATATAGATATATAGATATACATGTACACAATAAATATAAAGAAACATGAAATCCTGTAATCCGCAGCAAAATGAAGAGAGCTGGAGACATTCTGTTAAAACAGCCAAAACAAAAGGCCTTTCTCATTCAAACAAAACAAAATAGAAGAGTAATTATGTGGGCCAAAAAAGGGCTCCAGTTCAGGAGGCAGGAGGGTGAGCACAGGGGAAAAATAGAAGGACATGATCAATGTACATAATAGATGTATATGGAGAATCCTAGAATCTTATTAATAGATGCTGATAAAATATGTTAATACTATAGATATCAGAGAAGTAATGACTAAAATCTGAAGCAATGAATCTGTTCTTTGTATTATAAACAATTCCTGATGGTAGCTCATACACCAAATACTAGCTATTCTGGAAACTGACATCTCATGATCCTAGTTCAAAGCTGGCCTGGGCAGGAAACTTGGTGAGAGTCTTAGCTCCAATTAATCACCAGAACACCAGAAATGGAACTGTGGCTCAATATGTTGGAGTGCTAACCTTGAGCAAAAGAACTCAAGCCCCAGGACTGACAATAACAAAAAAAAATTGCTGCTTAGAATATCTGTTACTTGTGTTATTGTTTTATGAATCTCAAGTGTTGACACAATTCACACTCTTCAAGTCTATATTATCTATATATGAGCATCTCTGTCAGCAGGTGCAGGCACAGGAGGAACAGTTGGGGCAGCCCAGACTCTCACTTCTGCTTCCCTGGGAGGTTTTTGTCATGGCTTATATCACTGTGGGAGGGTAACCATTACCATGTTGACAGTAATAAGTGGCAACATCTTCAGGCTGCAGGCTGCTGATGGTGAGAGTGAACTCTGTTCCAGATCCACTGCCACTGAACCTGGATGGAACTCCAGATACCAAATTACTACTAGCATAGATCAGGAGTTTAGGGGCTTTCCCTAGTTTCTGCTGGTACCAGGCTAAATATCTATAAATGTTTCCACTGGCTCTACAAGTAATGGTGGCTGTGCCTCCTACAGATGCAGACAAGGTGGACGGGGACTGGGTCATCGGGATGCCACACCTCGCATCTGGCAGGGGAAACATGAAACAAATATCCTCATTATTAACCAACTTATAAGAAGGCTCTCCTGAAGAGTAAAGCATCATCAATCACACTGAGGACTTTTAATGCCCAATATTCTTTATCCTTACCTGGGAGCCAGAGCAGCAGGAGCCCCAGGAGCTGAGCAGGGATCCTCACGTCCATGTTGTGTGCTGACTGGGACAGACTGCTACATCGACTATGAGCAGCCTATGAAGGAGTCCTGAGGGCAGTGGGCTGTGCTGCTGGCACATGCAAATCATCAGCTTCTGGACAAGTTTAAACACAACTGTACGGCTGTCTCATCTCAGTAGATCTACACAAATTTGAGTCTCAGGAGACTTAGGTCAGGCAACAGTCTGTATTGTAGCCACAGAAGAGAATCAGCACATTTCCTTCCTGTGGATGGAGCACACCACTGATCTCATTGAGGATAAAAGCCACTTTTCTTTTTATTCCTTTATCTGAGACAAGACCTATCCATCAAAAGGTTAGTTCCAGAAATTTACAGACGTTTGTACAACACTCATTTGGCACAGGCATTTATTATCCAGAGCAGGAATTTTGGGAATTTCTCTGATTCACTGATCATCTTTATGTGGCAAGTTGTCAGCACTGCTGCCCTGTAATGCGATCCTTAGAGATGAAATAAGAATGTGAAGCTATTACATTGATTAGAAAATAGTTAAACTTGTGAATTGTGCAGCACAGCCTTGTTTTCTCCTATATCTCTGAATTTCTTGCATCAGCAGATACATAAAAGCAAGACATTTTCTTCTCTTCAAACCTGACCAATCTTTTCCACCATCCTAGGGGTGTGCATAGTTTATAATGTCCATTATTGAAGTCTTCATATTAACTTCTGTTTTTTAAACATCTTAACCAAAGCTACTGTGTTTGAATCAGAGATTCTCCTTGAAAAGGAGGATAAAACTTGGGTTATGCTGAAGCCTACTGAGTTGCCTAAACCTACATATATTCCTTTCATTTGGTAATTTCTTCTATTTGAGAAGAGAACACTGTGTTTAACAGCTGGGTTAAAGATATTGGGCTCAAGTAGAGTGAGTAGAACCATAGAAAGAAAGATCATGTTGGAATTTTTTAACAGAATCCAGGAGCCAGCAGTACATGGAAATGTCATTCATATTGAGAAGAGGCAACATGGGGCTTAGAAGCAAGAGTGAGGAGAGCTGATTGTCTATGCCAGGGAGAAAGAGCATTGCTGGCTGCACTGAAGGTGCTGAGGTGGAATGAGACACGAGGACATCCATATGGGCCTGTGCAGTTGTCAGGGCCCACAAGTCACTACTGCATGGGATGCAATGTTGGCTCATCTCAGCAGTGTTATGCCAGTCTGAGTAATATATGAGCAAATATGTGAGGGGGTTGTATGCTATGATCATGTAAGTGACAGTGACAGCTGGTGTTTCTCATCATCCAAAAAAGATGATCATGTGGCTAAATTCATGAGGGATCAATGGTCATACTCTTGAGAGAAAGAATTGTAATCTAATACAGGAGAACTTTGTCTAAGAATGTATTTCAGAATAACCTATTGCTGTGCATACAGGTGAAGAAATCACCATGAATTCACACATATATGTATGTATAAGACTAGATGAATGAATGTGTGGATGGATAATTTTTCACAGTCTAATAGTAATGATGTTCTAGTTCCATTAATAGATAGCACCATCACTAATGTACCTGTAAACTTTCTCCAATAAATGAAACAAGTGACCCTTATGGAAATAATTGATTTTTTTATCAAAACTAAGAAAGTGTAAGGTAATTTTGGACCATTTTGTGCCAAAAAAAAAAATCCTGGTGTGCGAGGTAACGGAAAAAGTGGAGAGAATCAACTAGAAAAAGATGCCCACTGACCAATTTCAAGGGATTTTGAATACCATATAAATGCTAATATACTGCATTAAATCAATTGTAAATCCTTGGATTCGCCATGATATTTTCATAAGAAATGGGATATTCTAAAATGATCAAAAACTTCTCCACACATTTTCATAAATTGTAAAAGGGAAAGAATTATTATACAGCAGAGAAATCTGGCAGCCATCACCTAGTTTAGAATTGAAATGAAGATCACCAGTAATGATGATTCAAACCATGGGTCTGTTAACAGTCACCATAAAAAGAACACAGTGGCAATTCTGGACTTTGCTCACATATATGTACTATTGAATATAACCTGAAGGAAAATTGCATGAATCTAGTTTGAGAGGCATTCAGAAACATGGCTGCTGTGGAGTCACTAAGAATGATAAGACTATGATTATATTGTGTTTTTTTCTTACACAATAGGATGCAAAATAACATATATTCTTCCATTAGAACTCATTTATTATTTGGCAATATTTCACTGGAAGTAGGCAGAGATTTCATTGTATAGAAGAATGGAGAAACAAAAGGTAATTCAAGAGAGGAAGCTCAAACAACACTTAATCCAGGGGTTCATTTGTTATAACAAGATATGATTTTTTCCTACCTCTCTCCTCTTTCCTCCTGTGTCCTACTTCTGTAATTAGGACAAGGTTTTGCCTTGTTGTTAACAAATTGTAGGACCATGTGTACTCCTTGCCAAGCACAGGCTTCTTCCTACCACTAGGATCTCAGTTTCTCTCCATGAGGTCAAGCCAGGTAAGGTCAACTTGGGCAAATACTGGAGACAATCACTGTCCAGGGAATGACTTTGCATACAGGCCAATCAGCTGTTCTGAAATGGGATTAAATTAAACATCCTTAAAAGCAAACTGCCTACAGACAAGAATAGCTGTTTGTAGTAAGAGCTCTGATGTGCATAACAAATGCATTGGAAGAGCAAACATATATGTCCATTCTTTCATCTATGACCAAGGCCATGAGTTAAAGACCAAAGAAGGGAAGTAAGTTATATTTTGAAGGAAGTATCATTATGAATCAGAGGGATATAATTGATCAAACATGCTTCCTCTCCCTTTGCCTGTGAACAAACCACTTCAAATGAAGATTGGTTCTCTTTATTAACAGAGATATTAAAAAAGGTCTAAGATACTCTTTTTTTTTTGGGTCCGGTCATGGGGCCTGAACTCTGGGACTGGGCACTGTCCCTCAGCTCTTCAGCTCAAGGCTAGCTCTCTACCACTTGAGCCACAGCGCCACTTCCGGCTTTTTTTTTTTTTTTTTTTTTGCTTATGTGGTGCTGAGGAACCGAACGCAGGCCCTCATGCATGCAATGCAAGCGCTCTACCACTGAGCCACCTTCCCAACCCTAAGATACTCTTTTACAGGGGGTTCAAGGCTTGTTTTGAATAGAGAGTCAGGGTCTGGTTCATGTTACTCATCTGTGTGTTTGCTGAATTCCAATTGCAGGGACATGATGGAATTAAAAATTAATATCCTTATTCAGAAGATGAATTTGTTAAATGGGCTTCAGTGAGATCACATGGAATATTTTTAATGAACCACAGATGTTCAATTTTAACTTGTTTCCTCTTCCTCTCATTCTAATCATGCTAAGAGGTGAAGAGACAAAACGTGTTCTAAGATGCCCACTACCCACTTCCCTTGAGTATTAGTGTTGCTAGAGAGAGTGGCAAAAGGGCAGCAGATGGGGTGGAGTGACTGGAGTCTCTGGAAACAGGACAGCATGAGAAGTATTTGTTCATTGTCTTGCCTTTGCATTAAAATGAGTGTTCTGTAAGATCAGAGGTTTGTGTCTACAAGTGCTCATGGTACTGTGAGGAAATGTACTGAAGATATTTCAGCTTTTATCCCCAGAGGGAGCTGTATCACCTTAAGTCTCTTGGTGACAGAGGGATTGGTTAGCATTTGAGATGTCATTGGGGGAACTAGTTGTCCTGAGGTGCAGCAATGAGAGGGATTCCTAAGTATGTGAGAACTCATTTTTGAAGATGGTGTTTGCACTGATGGAAATCTAAGAAGTCTCTTTGGACGATCAGGATGTGTTAGCTAAGAACTCAAACATGTGAGGTCATTGTGTTTTCTATTCTCAGATTCCCATTTGGTCTCTCTCATATTGCTATTGGGAACTTATTTGTTCTATTATTTTCTTTGTATATTGCTTTTTAGGTGTTTGATCAAAGATCAGAAGCTTCAATGGTGTTTAAACATTCGTAGCATTTATAATCCATAAAATAACTACTTTGAAGTCTATTTAGCATTTGGTGGTTGGTTACTGATGTCATTGATCTTTTCTAAACTTTTCATTTCCAATTTATTGTTTGAATCTCTAATGGCTTACCTTTATCTACACAGCATGACAAATGCCAGTGATGGGTCAGGTTTCCTACACTACAAGTCCATCCTGCTTCTTCCGTACACCCTGGTTTGTGGATTGAGAGTGCATTCAATGTGCAGCCAGGTCACCTCACTTCCTTTTGCTCAAGCCCTCTCTTGTGTCTCTGTCACTCACACGTGGAGTGAGGTTTCAGAGAAGAGTATTGAGGGGAGGCCTAGGAGGGATGGGGAGAATGATGAAAGGGTGTCATACTTATAACTGCACTTGTACTTACAAACTGATTTGTTGAATGGTAACCACTTTGTACAACTACTTAAAGACAATAAAGGTATAATTAAAATTAAAAAAAGATTTTGCAGGACACCAGAATCAAATACTATGGGGGAAGAACAAAGAAATAAAAAAAAAATAGATCACATAGTACATTATAAGTACATTAAAAAGAACAGCAAGAAATATAAAAAAATTGTGGCCCTATCTTGGGATTCATTTCACTTAACATCAGCTTATATGGTCATACATACAGAGCTTTGGACCACTTCTGCTTGTCCTGGGCATATAGTAGTTATTGCAGATAAGCAATACCATATGACTTATGATGCTTTGGGTCTGACTTACACCACTTAATATAAATTTTTCAGGTTTTCCATTTCCTAACAAATGTGGTAATGCCATTTTTTTGATGGAGGCATAGAATTCCTATTTCTTGATCCATTCATCTACTGAGAGGCATGTGGGTTGGTTCCATAGTTTAACTATGGTGAATAATGCTGCAATAAACATAGCTGTTCTGGTAGCATTAGTATGGCCTTGTTTGTTATTGTTTGGATAAATGCCTAAAAGTGCAATTGCTGGTTCATAGGGGAGCTCTATGTAGAGTCTTTTGAGGAACCTCCATACTGCTTTCCAAAGTGGTTGAACAAATTTACATTCCCACCAACAATGCAATAGGGTTTCCTTTTGGTCACATCCCCTCCAACATCTGTTGTTATTAGATTTCTTGATTATAGCCATTCTAACTGGTGTGAGGTGGAATCTCAATGTTGCTTTGATTTGCATTTCTTTTATGGCTCGAGAAGTTGAGCATTTCTTCATGTGTCTACTGGCCATTCTTATTTCCTCTTCAGAGAAGTCTCTCTTTAAGTCTTTAACCCACTTATTAATCAGGCTGTTGTTTCTTTGATGATACATTGTTGGGGGATTTATTTTTCTGAATTCTAAGTATATTTTAGATATGAGGCCCTTGTCCATTGTATGGCTAGTGAAGATCTTCTCCCAATCCCTGAGCTTTCCATTGATCTTGCTTGCTATGTCCTTTTCCATGCAGAAGCTCTGTAGTTTCATGCAGTCTCTTTTGTCCAAACTTTCTTTGACTTGTTGTGTTTCTGGGTCTTTATTAAGAATATTTCAGCCTGTGCTAAGGCACCCTAGAGTTTCTCATATTGCTTCCTGTAATATTTTCAAGGTGTCTGTTTTTATATTGAGGTCTTGGATCTATTTGGAGCTGATTCTGGTGCAGGAGATATATACGGATCTGCCTTTAGTTTAGAAAATGGTTTTTTAAAGATCTCTTTGGTGAAAAAAATAATCCCTTGACAAGAAGAAATTGGTAAATGTTTAGGTTGATGGACTAATTAGTTAGTTACCTTGTTTAGATGATTTGACAATACGTGTACATACCAAAACCTACTGTACTTCAAATATATTATAAGGTGTCAGTCACAAGTTGTTTAAAAATTAATGACAATTTTTTTTCTTTATAATGTTGCTTTTCAAAAATCTTTTGTAAAAAACCATGTTGCCCTGTTTTTAAAAGCTTAGTTTGACATACCTAGAAAGGCTTCTTCTTTAATGAATGACTACAAATTTTAGCACATCCTGGAGTACACATAAGTACAGATGTATGTTCTTTGTAAGTCAGAAGAGGCAATGTCAGATATGTGCTGCTTGCATGAGAAGGAAGACAGAGAGTTAGGGTGTGCAGATGCCTCCAGGACCTTCCTCCCAATATTGTCTAGTCACCTTAAAAGACTGACTCCACCTGAGAAGCTCTGTCAGCAGGTGGAGGCACCATGAAGAGCAGCTGGGACAGCCCAGTCTCTCACTTCTGCTTTCCTGTGAGGTTTTTGTCATGGCTTGTATCACTGTTGGAGGTCTACTATAATCTTGTTCATAGTACAATGTGGCAATATCTTCAGGCTGCAGGCTGCTGATGGTGTGTGAACTCTGTTCCAGATCAACTTCCATTGAACCTTGATGGAACCCCAGAGGCCAATCTATTTGCAAATTAGATCAGAAGCTTTGTAGCATTCTCTGGTATCTGCTAATGCCAATTTAACTCATTGCTAATGTGCTGACTGGCCCTGCAAGTGATGACAACTCTGTTCCAAGAGATGCATGTAAGTGGTAGTACTGGGTCAACTGGATGTCACATCTTGCACCTGACAATGGAAACATGGAAAACATTATGCATTTAATTAATTATACTATCCAAGTACTTCCAGAAAGAAGCAGGCTGTTTCTCTTTCTCGATATTATTTCTAACATATTTATAAGATGTTTCTTTGTTTCTTTGTATGTCCTCCCACACCGTATAACCACTGTTTTCACTGTATTTGATGTTGGTATAATTTGTGTAGGGAAAGGGAAAAAAATCGTTTAAATAGGCATATAGGTGGTCCCATTGAAACAATGAGACATATAAAACGTTAAATTGAAAAAACGAACTTTACAACTTTGGCAGATTGGGGGAGGGGTGTTACAGGGTGGGGGGGGGGGGGAGATGGGAAGGGATGGAAAGGGAAAACAAAGGAGGAGGCAACAATGCTTGATAAGAAATGTACTCATTACCTTGCCCATGTAATTGTAACCCCTCTGTATGGTATTTTCCCAATAAAACACCCACCCACACACACACACACACACAAACATGAGATGAATAATCCCCAGCATTGTCCTTGTTTACCTTGGAACCAAAACTGTGGAGCCCCAGGATCTGAGCAGGAGTCCTCATGTCCTTGCTGTGTGTTGAGTGGAACCTTCTCCTGCACAGGGTGTGAGCAGCCTGTTATGATGTTCTCAGTTCAGTGGGCTGAGCTCTGGGCACATGCAAATTAGTAGGAGTTGGGCAGGGCTGGGCATAACTGCAATCTGGCAGACTTCAGTGACAAAGTACAGACCTAAAGACCACAGATGTCCGATTATCTTGCACATAATGTGTTTCTCCATGGTGAACAGAATATGTGGTCCTGTGAGAAAAATAAATGTTTTTAATTCCCATATTGATCCAGACTTGCTAGTATTTTCTTTACTGTTTATGTTAATGTAAGCCAGTCACTGAGACATAAACATTCCTAAAGGAGGTCAATTTTATACTTTTCCTGCATTTTGTATCTGTGAATTTTGTGACACAGGATTCTAGAGCATTCAAGTTAATTCCCTGAACCACATTATATAGTTAATAATTATCATTATTATCCAGATTGAGAAATATATAGAATTCAAAAAGTTTTATGAGAGTTAAAACTCTTGAAAAGTATTATATGTGAAATAAACTATTTTTATCTGAGATGTATAGAGTGTCTTCTGCTGTTTGTATTGGTGCCTTGTTCACTCCATACAAATGACTCATTTCCTTCTCTTCTAAATGCTGTGATTTATTGCCTCTCTCAAGGACAGACCATAAAAGGTATTTCCTCCTTATACATAGGTATACATAGCTTTGTAAGTGTCATGCATTTCTGTTTAATATGACATTTTCTAAATTTTGGGAGGACATTTGTGTCTTCTATCTTAATTACTGGAAAGTGCTCTCTCTCCCTCTCCCCCCACTCTCTCTCTGTGTATCTAATATCTTTAACCAATGGCTGAACTCTACTTCAAGTTCACTGTTCTCCTTAACCCTACATTATCTCTCATAACCAATATATTTTAGGTTGTAAGTGATCTATTTTTTTGTGCTTGGCCTGAGGTTTGAACTCAGATTTTAGGTAGTTTCCTCAGCTTTTGTGTTCAAGGCTGGTTTTCTACAACATGAGCCATAGCTTCACTTCCAGCTTTTTAGTGGTAAATTGGAGATAAGCAGCACATAGACTTTCATGCCCAGGCTGACTTCCAATTACCTTGAGCAGATCTCAGCTTCTTGAGTAGCTAGGACTACAGGGATAAGCCAGTGGTACCTGGTACTAAAGCATTTTTTAGTGAATGCATTTAGGCCATTTGATCCAAACAGACACAGAAGGAATAAAATGCTCTGTGGTCAGAGTGAGGACAAACTGCAGCCACACAGTTTGGAGAGGACATCTTCAGCATGAGGAATCAAGCACAGCTGACAATAAGAAGTGGAATTAGAGTTAAGTTACCAGGCCCCACAACATGGAGATTAGCTTGTGGTGACACACTGCATTGTATATGCAGGATGTCACATTTGAGGACAAAGGAGTAGAATAGTCACATGGAACTTAGCATCACAAATGGAAGCATCTGCTTGTGGGTGCAAGGAGATAACACAGTTGTTCCAAGTCACAGAGCCCACAAATAAGTCATTGTCCAATCAGAGCCTTCTTCATTACCATTTAGTGTGTAAACTGCATTTGAGTCTTGACTTGATTATCTTCTCCTCCTAACACGTTAATGGTCTCTGTAGCACATGCTAACACCACTGCTCCAAGAAGGATTTTACAATGTTCTTCTTTCCTCTTTTTATGATGATGTATGAACCTACTAAGAAAGCTATACTCTTCCCCTTATTCCTCTTAAATTTAACTTCTATTTTTCTCATATGGTCCTCTCAATCTCTGTCACTGTCTTTGCTGGAAGAGTTTTGCTCTCTCTACTGTGCACTGTAGAACAAAGCTGGTACTAAATAAAACAAGTACAAGGGATCTGGCTGCTGTGATGGTATAAAGGCTACCTGGCAAATTATTAATAGAATGACAAAGGACATCTACCTGTGTGGAGTTAAAAGCAGACAGGCTCTAGCAATAACACATAAATTCTCTTGATCCACACTCCAGGTCTGGCTTCAGCAACTGTGAAAATTTGTCTTATGAGTTTCAAGTCTGCAAAGGATTTAGGTACTGGAATACTTGGAAGAGTGAAACAATGGCCTTCAACCAGAGATCTTGCTCTGGGCTGTGAGGGATGGAGTTACTGGCTGAGAGATGAAGTTGAGGACAGGGAGATGGGGGAGACTAAAGGAACTTTCTGTGGATCTTACTGAAAGAAGGAAGAGCTTCAGGAAAGGAACGTGTTTATAATCTGGGCCATGAAAGTAAGTGAGGTCTGGGACAAGGTGAAAGTCTAAGAGACCTAGACTTCAGAGCAGGGCTGAGACTGGAAAGGATGCTCCAGCGTTCTTCCCTTGGCTTCTGAGAGGCTTGAAAAAGGAGGAAATTCAGCAGGGCCCTAAGGACAGATTCTTAATTCTAGTCCTTATTCAAACATAGAGGAAGTGGGGCTCTGGTAGTTCACTCCTCTAATCCTAGCGTCTCAGGAGGCTGAGATCTGAGGATCATGGTTTGAATCCACCCTGGTCAGGAATAAATTGATCTCCAATAAATTACCCAGAAAAAGCTGGAAATGATGTTATGGTTTAAGTAGTAGAATGCTAGCCTTGAACACAAAGATCTCAGAGACAACACCTACATCCTGAGTTCAAGCCCCAGGACTGGCAAAAAAAATACAAACATCAAAAACCAACCAACCAAACAAAAAAAAAAAAAACCCACCCACCAACTAAAAAAAAACATACAGGAGCACTTGACAAATGAAAGAATGCCGAAGTAATATGTCTATTGTTCATATGTATCAAATTAACACATGGATAAACATACTTTCTTTGTCTAACTCATTTCAAATTCTGATCCTGAAAAAGAACTCTAGGGAACAATGGCCCTTCCTCACTCTTAGCCTGAGCATCATGAAGTTCAGGACCCAATCTGTTCTTTTGAGCACAAGCAGTGACCTGCTCAGTGCAGAGGACTCTGGACCCTGATGGGGATAGCATTGACAGTGCAGCCCCCTCTCACCTCCCACAACTGGATATGGTGTGTGCATGTTCCCTTCAGGGCTGTGTGTCTTCAGCCCTCCTTCCCTCTCCTTTCTGATCTATACTTGATGATTTTACTATAAGAATCCTGGTGGAATTGTCAGCCTTGTCTTGTGTGATTACACTTTCAAAGTGAAATATGAAATAGGAACTGTACACGGGGAGACATGACCCCTTCCATATACATGGTCCTAGCTGCCATGTGTACCATGAAAGCCTGGAATAGAGTTCCCCAGGCTCAAGCTCCTAAGGAAAGAAGGGAAGCATCAGCCCTGCTTTCCCAAGGTCTCTAAGATCAGGGTTCAGTTTTTTCTCCTTGTGTGGATTTTGGCATCTCGTGGAAGCTTTGTGACATAGCAACTGGCAAGATTTCCATTTGGAGTTTTGGTTTTGTTTTGTTAAGTAATCTTCTCAAACAATTATACAAGAGAATCTCAGTATTTTAATGCAAAATTATGCCATTTTATTTCTTGTACCTAAGGATTAATTTTAATTTACTTATATTAATAGCATGAGGTGATTTTTAGTAATTCTATTCCTAAATTCAGTGTACTTTGGAAAATTTCACTACCTTCTTTCTATTTCTACTGTCATTTCCCTCCAACACCTACTATTTTTCTTACAGTATGTAATTGACTTCATTATTCAAAAATATATGTAAATATGCATACATATTATATATATAACTTAATTCATTTTCATTTATTTGTGCCTTTGGTCCCTTACTAACTCCCTCACCTATCTCTCTTTAGACGTTTTCCCCATTTTACTTTCATGAACTGTTACTATGTTTTATTCTTAATATTATTTAATTATTATATTATCATCATCATTTAATTCTACATACAACAAATGAGTGGAACTAGGGAATATTTGTCTTTGGAATCCTGACGTATATCATTCAACATGATCCAGTTCCTAAATTTTCCAGCATATTATATAATTTCATTGTTCATCTCTCTCTGTCTTTGCTAAAGATCCAGAGCAATAATGTCCTCAGGACTTTACTAAAATCCCTATTGTTGTCGGTCATAGGCCTTGAACTCAGGGCCTGGGCATTGTCCCTGAGCTCTTTTGCTCAAGGTTAGCACTCTAGCACATTAAGTCACAGCCACCCTTCTGTTCTTCTGGTATTTACATGGAGATAAGTGTCTCACAGCTTTCTGGCCTGGCTGCCTTTGAACCAGATCCTCAGATCTCAGCTTCCTGTGTCTAGGATTATAAGCATGAGCCACCAATGCCCAGCACAACCTCATTTTAAAGAAGGACCTGAGGAGTCATGATGGGTCAAGACAAGGTCAGGCTGTACTTGAATCTCAGACTTAGAAGGGAATTCACTAAGCAAATGGGTGCAACAGTGTAAAAGGAACAAAGGGAGGGCAAATGCCTCTCTTGTGAGGCCTTCCAAGTGGAAATCATATCCCCTGGATACCATATTCCAGATGCTCTGAAGTACAGATCTGTGTTCTTTTTATGACAACAGAAGCCTTGTCTGGATGATGACTGTGAGGCTGAGATGAAGAAATACAGTTAAGATTGAGAGGATTGTCACTGACCACATCGACCAAATCCCCAACTGAACTTCAGGGCCTGGCTGTAGCTGCAAAGCACTGTCAGCAGATGAAACCACAAGGAGAAGCAGCTGGGGCAGCCCAGCCTGTCACTTCTGCTTCCCTTGGAGGTTTTATGTTATGGCTTGTGCCACTTTGGAAGGGTAACTATTACTCTGTTGACAGTAATAAGTTGCAAAGTATTCAGGCTGAAGGCTACTGATTGTGAGAGTGAGCTCTGTCCCAGGTTGGCTCCCACTGAACCTGGATGGCACCCCGGATTCCAATCTGTATGCCCAGTAAATCAAGAGTTTAGGAGCTTTCCCTGGTTTCTGCTGATACCAATGTAAATCATCGCTAATACACTGACTGGCCTTGCAGGTGGTGGAGACTCTATCTCCTACTGATGCAGACAGAGAGGATGGAGACTGGGTCATCAGAATGTCACAATTGGTACCTGATAATGGAAACAAAAGACAAATATCCACCCAATTAGTTATACTGTGAGACCTTCCATGAAGACCCAGGCTTCTAGACCTAGACTTCTCCCAAAGGGTGGAAGAAGTGCTGTCCTTCCTTACCTGGGAGCCAGAGCAGCAGGAGCCCCAGGAGCTGGGCAGGGGCCCTCATGTCCATGGTATGTGCTGACTGGGACTGACTGATACACAGAATTTGAGCAGCCTTAAAGAAGTTCTCAGGCCAAGTGTGCTGTGCTCTGGGTGCATGCAAATCCTCAACTGCTAGGCAAAGCAACAGAGCCAGCACAGATGCAGGGTGGCGGAAATCCAGGTCAAAACCCAGAACTAAAGTTATCATGTGTCCCAAAGAGACCTACACATCACAAATTTGTCCTTAAAAATGTTTTCCAAAGACAGAATGTCTCTCTTACTCTTTTTTTAAAAGTTTATTTTTATGGGCTGGGAAGGTGGCTCAGTGGTAGAGTGCTTGCCTCACATGCATGAGGCCCTGGCTTCGATTCAGCAACACCACATAAGCAGAAAAAGCCAGAAGTGGTATTGTGGCTCAAGTGGTAGAGTGCTAGCCTTGAGCTGAAGAGCAGAGGGACAGCGCCCAGACCAAGAGTTCAGGCCCCATGACCAAACAAAAAAATTAAAAACTATATTTTGATTTCAACATGATCTATATTAGGATATTCACAATAGCTTTTGCATGTCAGTCACTCAGAAAAAAATCAGAATGAAAATAATTATAGAAGACTGCTGCCTTGGCACCGGATTTCTGAGTTTTTTGTTTTTCTGCCCTACCCCAAAGTGTATTTAATCATAATCAGCATTATCCAGAAATTGATAAGTGATAACACTGATCATAGGAGGACTTGAACTGGGACAGGATAGTCTGGCTGACCTGAGTAGCAGTGACAAAGGTGGCTCCTGAGCATGTGGTGACTCAAGGTTCTGCAGTGGTGCTTATACTGAGAGAGATATCAGAAGTCTGCTCTGATGTCTGGAACTGATATGTACTGAAGCAGAGGAACTTAAACATGACTTTAAAACTCAAACAAGGGGCTAAGACAAAGCCATAAATCCTGCACTCTGTTCTCATCCTGTCCCATGACTTTAATATTTTGCATGAGGTAACACAAGAAGTAATGCTTCCCTTATTTTTGTAATTAACTATTCTGGTACCAACCATATCATGTTTCACATGGTGTATCAGTTGGAAGAGTTTAGTGTAATTATTTAACTACTGAAAATTTTGGTGAATATTAGTGAGAATCTTGCACTTAACATGCCAATCCTGACCATTCACAGTCTCACAACGACAATTCTTGAGAAAACTCCATTTTTGTCTCCTTTCCAAGATGTACTGCATTTGTACTTTTCCTTCACATCATCTCATCTATTCAAATGACCAAAAACCAGGTTACACTAAAGCCACCAGCAGGACCATATAAATAAATTCTGATGCCCCTCGGTGGATGAATGGAACAAGAAAATGTAGTATTTATATACACATTTGAACTCTATGCTTCCATCATAATGAATGATATTGCTCCACTCACAAGAAAATGGAAACACCAGGAAACATAATACTAAGAAAAGCATCCAGAGCCAAAGAAACATAAACTGCATGTTTTCAACTCATTTTTAATAGCTAGAATGTGCCTATAAATCTACCATGAAATCCAATGGATAGTAAAAGACAGGTGAATGCACCGGGAAATAATTAAAAAGTCATCTAAACATTCACACAGTGAGAACAAAGGAGGATATCTTAGGAGAGGATCACAAAGGCTCAAAAGCTATGTGCATATGATCATATAGAATGATCCTTGTCAAAATGAACTCCAGGCAATGGAAATATAGCTTTTTAACTCAACTGCTTGCATTTTTTCTTTCTTTTCTTCTTTCCTTTTTTGGTTTATTTCCTTCTGTAGCTTTTTATTTCCATACAATTTGTCATATATATACATATACATATATACATACACACACACACACACACACACACACACACACACACACACACACACACACACACATATATATGTATATATATATATATATATATATATATATATATGTTTACCTTATTTAGGGAGAGGAAGATGAAGCACAAAAATGTTGGACCAAAAAGTGAAGCAATTTAGCACTGAAACCTACTAGACCCCATGTCGGAAATGAACTATAAAACTTTGGCATGAGGGAAATTAGAAGGGAAAAAGCTACAATAATGAGGGAGGGAGAGACACTGTTCAAAAGGAAATGTACTCATTATTTGACTCATATTACTGTAACCTCTCTGTATATGACTTTTACAATAAAATTTTTAAAAATGTTAAAAAAAGTAAAGTTTGGATAAATAACAGGAAGCATTCATAGATAAAAGTATATTTAGGTCACTTGCATATGCTCTAGACTTTGGCTAGACAAATATTGGAGCAAAGAGACAAGTTCTATACTGTATTAATGAGATTCCAAATACAGAGAGACCTGTTCCCCATCTGGCTTCTAGTGGAATGTTCATCATACTAGACATACTTCTGTTCCTTTGGGAGTTTTGTGTGATCACTTGTTTAACTGTGGGAAGTAAAGTCATGTTGTTGACAGTAATAAGTTGCAACATTTAGGCTGCAGGCTACTTATGGTGAGGGTGAACTCCAGCCACATCTATTACCAGTGATCCTTGATGGGACCCCAGATTGCCACCTGGTTTCTCTAAGTATCAGGAGGTCAGGAAGTTTCCCAGGTGTTTGCTGACAACCGTTTTAATTAAGTGCTAATGCTCTGACTGGCCCTCCAGGGGATAGTGATGTTTTCTCCTAGAGATGCAGACAGAGATGGCACTGGGTCATCTGGATGTCACATCTGGTACCTGATACTGAAAAAACAAAATCAATAATAATTCATTTATTGGAAGATTTCCTTGAAGAAGCCTTGTTTACCATGTGTTGAGGAAATCTAGGCATTGTCTTCCTTTACCTGGGACACAGAGCAGCAGGAGTACCAGGAGCTGAGCAGGTGCCCTCATGTCCATGCTGTGTGCTCATTGATACAGACTGGTACTGACTGCTGCACAGGGTGCGAGTAGCCTATTATGAAGTTCTAATGCACTGTTGTGTTCTGGACACATGCAAATCAGCAGGGGATAGTAAGGTGGCAAACAGTCCATAATGTGCCCAGGTTTCAGTTATGTCTACCTAACAAGAGTAGTGCAGCTATGCCAGCAGAAAATGGTTGTCCCTTGAATCCAGTGAACCAAATGACTTTATATCCTGTGATTTTAGAATTGTGATTTCCATGTTGTTCACGAAATGCTTTTCATGCTAGCCTTTTATAAAAGTCAATCTTTCTGAAAAAGATGGTTCCAGAGATGTACAACTAATTATTTTAAGTGATTCCCTGACTTATCAGTTGATTTTTTTCATAGACTTGTTTGTTTAGTTATCATGAACACAATTACCTTATTATACAGGGATGGAATAAAATAAGACTGTTGAAGATAGATAGCTAGATAGATGGATAGATAGATAATAGGTGCACAGATAGATGTTAGATTCAAATAAAAATATGTATGAAGACATAGAAAAAATGATACCATATAAGATGGCGCTAAACCAAATGAACTCCAAGATATGGAAACAGGATGTTTTTCTTTGTTGTTTTTGTTTTTAATATCCTATGTGAAGCTATTTCTTTTTTCTTTCATTTTTGTTTTCCATTGGGTTTTCTCCTGTTGTCACTGTGTTTATTTAGGTACTGTGTCTTGTACTTACATTATCTGAATTGGGGAAGGAAAGGAGAACAACAAAATCGTGGGACAAAGAACAAAGTGTGAAGCAATCCAATAGTGATAAGCAAGAAGGTATGTTGGAAATGATCTTCACAACTTGGGGGGGAGAGATTTGGGAGAAGGGAAAGTGGGAAAAAAGTGAGGGAAGAATAAGAATAACAACGTTCCACTAGAAATGTACTCATTACCTTATATATGTAACTAATCCCTTCTTACATACCTTGAAAATAAAATTAATTTAGAAAAAGACAGAAAATAATAGAAACCTAAAACATTTAATGAATTACAAAAACACTGTGAAAATATACTATGAAATACTTTGAACACTATGAATATACTTTCCTCTGTCCCTTTAGTGGCTTCAGTTATAGGATTAAATGGTGAATACATAAGCTCACCTAGCTCAGCCTTAGAATGATTTTCAAGCATAAAATGAAACTGTGTGCACACAGAGTACTAAAGATAATCATGTTAGCATGCATTCCAGACTTGCATTTCTCCAATTCATGTTACTTCAGTGAATTCAGTGCATCTACACCATTTTTTTCCAGATGAATTTGAGAGGCTTGTGATGAAGCAGTTTACACCACTGGAGAATCCACCAAGTCTTGGGCTGTGCAGTGTCATAATTCCAGGCCTCTGAAAGGCTCATTACAAGGAAATGAGAAATGTTTAAATTAATAGAAAATGATGCAAGACACACACTTAAATATTAATTATGCACTCATGCCAGGTTTCTTTAAATAAAATGACAGAGGCTGACTAGGGAGGGCTGTGAATGCTGTGCACATTGAACAAGGGCTCAATCTCAGACTTCTGGGACATATGAACACTCTTCAGGGCATCACCACACTCCACTCTCTTCACAAGAGCCAGAGCCCCAGAACACAGAAGACCTGAAACCATTGTGCAGGCTCCAGTACTGTATCCGTCTCACATTGATACAGGCAAGAAACAGTGCCTGAACCGTGATTAGGGCTTGTCAGTCATGTAAGTTTTGGGGAACACTCAGGTACAAATGGGTTTCCTTCTTCTGAAGAGAAAACAGCATGTGCTGTGGGTGTGGGCTTGATGGAAGTTTGTGTGTTTGTTTTGTTTTTTTGTTAGTCATGGGGCGTGAACTTTGGGCTTGGGCACTGTCCCTACACTCTTCAGCTCACGGTGAGCGCTCTAATGCTTGAACCACAGCGCCACTTCTGATTTTCTAGTGGTTTATTGGAGGTAAGAGTCTCATAGACTTTTCTGCCTGGGCTGGCAGGCAGATCCTTAGACCTCAGCCTCCGGAATAGCTAGGATTACAAGCATGAGCCATTGGTACCTAGCTTTTGATGGAAGTTTAAGTTTCATTATAAAGGGAGTGAAATCACAGAAGAAAGCTGATTCTTCTATTATTGGTTAGCTATAATACTAAAGAGACCTATATTTTTTGAGTAAATATTTCACGATTGATCTGATATCTCCTGGTTTTTTTGTGTTTTCATGATTGTTCTCCTGTTCTTTGTAGATTGTATGTTGTCACATTATCACACAGTCTTTATCTCCATTCATAGTCACTCCCACATTGATTAAGGTATCTTCCTCTCTGGGCAGAGTCAGACCATCTGCTCTGCTGCTCCCCAGGCCAGCAATGTGGGAGCACAGCTCAATGCTTAGTCAGAAGGGAGGTTTTTGTTCAGGGCTGTATCACTGTGGGAGGCTCATGTGTACGTTGCAAGCAGTAATAAACTCCAACATCCTCAGCCTGCACCCTGCTGATTCTCAATGTGAAATCTGTGATTGCCCCACTGCCAGTCAATCTATCTGAGACCCCAGAATATCTGTTGGAAACCTCATAGATCAGTACTTGTGGAGACTGGCCTGGCTTCTTCAGGTACCAATCCAGATAGGTCCTTCCATTGCTGTGCAAAAGGCTCTGACTAGACCTGCAGGAGATGGAGACTGTTTCTCCCAGGATGACAGGCAGGGAACTTGGAGACTGGGTCAGCACAACATCTCCACTGGATCCTGAAATTAAAATAAGACAGAAATGAATATTGATGTACAAACATAGAGATACATGCATTTATTCATTATATTCTGATATATTTTGCATTTTATTCATAGTTTTTGCTTTGATTCAAAATGTAAAAAGAACAGATATTATAAAGCATAAATAAGTCTCTAGGAGTCACTGACAATTTTCCTTCCTAGCAGAGTCTTCACCCAAGCACAGGTTCTAGCTCTTTCTGGAATGTTTCTCACTCTCTAAGACCTATACCTCACTTGTCCCGTCATGGATAACAAGATCTGCATGTATAAAACATGGATGGGGCGCCACTGGATTCTGAGAGCCCATCTTCCCACCCACTGTCATTTCTCACTTCCTTTTACCTTTACCAGAGATCCAGAGCATTAACAGCCCCAGCAGCTGAGAGAAGAACTTCATTTTTAGGAGTGAAATGAGGAGTCTAGCCAGTTCGAGACAATTCAGAGCTGAGCCTTTATCTCAGACTTAGAAAGGAAGGTCCTCCTTAGGGAGCAGTATGCAAATAGCCAGGTGGGTGCAACAGTGTGAGAACAGTCAAGGGGTTGGTAAGTCCTGCTCTTCTGAGAAAAGTGACATCAGATGTGTTCTGTGTTTGGTGATAACCAATAAAATTACATTATGGCTGCAGTAGTGGGAAGAAAGATCCCACTATGAAAGTATTTTTCTCCAGTGAGTATAGAGTACACATGCTCTCACACCCATAAAACAGCATCAGGGACCCAATGATATACAGGCTTAAGTCTAGGATCATCTCTAGGAAACAAATAAATACCATGCCTTAGCTTTCATGAAACTCCTCAGCTAGTCTAGGGAAAGGCACAGTGCCCTGCAGCCTCAGAGATGCTCAGTGGAATTGAACACAAAGAGCAGAGAGTTAAGTAGATGAAGAGGCATCAGATATCCATATTTACTAGATGATCTGTTCAGGGATCTTAGGCACAAGTGTTATAAAGTCTGTTTCCAAAGGAACTTTCTATGGAAGACTTAGGGTAAATAATTGACAAGGAGAACAAATTTTCCCATACAAGTAGTGTCCAAATGATCTTTATAAATGAAAAGATAAGGGTAGAAAGTGTGAATATATATTCAATTTTAAGTGCAATAGTATCTTGTCATTGTCCCATACTATATTTATAAAGCAAATTAATCAAAGGACTTTTAAAAAATCCTCTCTGGAGTATAATGGAAAGGTGAATTCATTCAAGATGCATTGCACTCATACACGGATATGTTGGGTTGAATCCCCTTGGTATATTTCAGGATAATTCAGTATATAAATATATATATATGCATATATACATAGTTCTTATGATCTTATATTAATATAAAATATTTAAATGTCTGCAGTTCCAATCAAATTAACTAGTCTCTACTTTGTGTATCCAAATATCCTGGTCCTATTGTGAGGCAGATCATCACCTTTGAAGAAGGAGCACATGAAGAACGAAGTTTGTTTTGCTGCTCCAATTGACTGATTTGGCTTTTGGAAGAGGTGCCTTGTGGGAAATGATTAGGTCATTGGAAGTCTTGCACTGAGGATGGTTAAATCTGCTCTCATGGATTGAATCAGTTCCTGTAATAGTTGCTTATTAGAAAATAAATACAACCATATACTTGGCCACTTCAACCTGCAGCTAATTATCTCTTTATTAACTCACCATATTGTTCCACAGACAGGACAGGCCTCACGTGATTACAGACAGACAGGATACAGCATGTAGGTCATTTTGTCTCTAAAACTATGAGTTAAATAAAACTCTTCTTTGTTCAGAGCTTATGCCAATAACTTTTGTCCTAGTAAAGAACTGATACAGATTCTCTGTATGCGTGTGTGTTTCTGTGTGTGTATTTGTGTGAGAGACAAAGAAAGAATGAGAGAGAAATAGAAAGAGAGAGATCTAGTTTACCTAGAAATGACCTTAAATAGGCTGAGGTGTGAAAAGCATCCCCCTACCATTGATATTCATCTAAATACAACTTTCCTAAACCTTACAGAGATCATTTGTCAACTTCCTGTAGTACAGATTCATACTCAGTATATCTGAGGTTGTTAAGTTATTTTGTGTTTTTAACATGCCATCAGTGATGCTGAAACAAAACTCTGAGTAGGAAAAAATAATATTGCATTTCTGTTTAATTGTATTGCTTCCTATGTGTCAAGAAGTATTTCTATTTGAGAAGCATCCTTTAATATTTCATGCAAATATCCCATTTTCTGTGGATTGAGACTGACTGAAACTCTTGGTATGATTACAAGTTATTGACAGGAAGAGGCACGTGTGAACATGGTCTCGTGCAATGCCTTCCGGGATATATTCTGAGAGTTGGTCCATGACCTCACTGGGTCATCAGCTGTGAACTCCTCTCATAAAAATTCCTTCAAAATGTTCACTTCTCAGCACTCTCTTGCTCACTGCTTTCTTGTGCATATTGGGAATGAGATGAGATTCTCATCTCATATGATATCAGAAGCTTTAAGAGAGTCAGTCCTATCTATCCATGACCTATGAAGTAACAGATGGACAGAGATGTGAGTGCAGAAATGTGACAGCTTCATACAAATCTCTTCTTTTTAATTATATTTTATAGTTTTTCTAATCTGTAAGTACTTGTACAAAACATTACCCTTAAACAAGTCCATTTTTAAGTATTATACATCTTTATCAATGTCACCCCTTTCTTCTTTCTACCCCATCCCTCTCTATCCTACCGTTTTCTTTTTTTGGGGGGGGGAAGGGTTCGGTCCTGGGGCCTGAACTCTGGGCCTGGGAGCTGTCTCTCAGCTATTCAGCTCAAGGCTAGCGCTCTACTACTTGAGCCACAGCGCCACTTATGGCTTTTTTCTTTTTGCTTATGTGGGGCTGAGGAATCGAACCAGGGCCTCATGCATGCAAGGCAAGTGCTCTACCACTGAGCCACCTTCCCAGCCCCCCTACCATTTTCTTTTATATTTATCACCATGTATAAAAATACATTTTAATTATGAAATATGAATTTATGACTCTGCATGTCTGTGTGATACATGGAAGTATTTGATAAACAATAAATTGATAAATGTTTAAGTTGATGAATTAATTTGTTAATTACATTTTTTAGATAATTGCACAATGTGTGCACATACCAAAATTTCATTTTGTACTTCAAATACAGTATACTGTGTCAATCATAAATTATTTTTAAAAAAGACTTTTTTTTTTCTTTACACATTTGCTTTTAAAAAATCTTTTTTCCAAGCTATATTGCCTTGCTTTCAAAAGCCTGCTTTGATATTCCTAGAATTGATGCTTCTTTATTGAGTGACTACAAAGTTTTAGCACAACATGGACTATACATAAACACAGATGTGTGTTCTTTTCAAGTACGAAGAGGCATTGTTGGGTGTGTGCTGCTTGGGATGAGCAGGAGGACAGAGAGTCAGGATGTGCAGATGCTTTCACTACCTTTCTCCCAATAATTAAAAGTCTGGTTGCATCTGAGAAGCACTGTCAGCAGGTAGAGGCATCAGGAGGAGCAGCTGGGGCAGCCCAGCCTCTCACTTCTGCTTCCCTGGGAGTTATATGTTATGGCTTATATCACTGTGGGAGGATAACTACTACCCTGTTGACAGTAATAAGTGGCAGCATCTTTAGACTGTAGGCTGCTGATGGTGAAAGTGAATTCTGTTCCAAATTGACTCCCACTGTACCTCAATGAGACCCTAGATTGTAAATTATTTGCATAATAGATCAGGAGATTTCCCTTCTCTCTGTTGGTACCAGTGTAAATCATTGCTAATGCCTTGACTGGCCCTGCAATGGGGACAACTCTGCTCCAAGAGATGCAGACAAGCGTGAGGACTGGTTCAACTGGATGTCACATCTTGCACCTGGTAATGGAACATGAAAACCATTAGGTATTTAATTAATTATGCTATCCAAGTACTTCCATAAAGAGTTTAGCAGCTCTGTTAACATGTGATGAGCAATCCCCAGCATGGTCCGTCCATACCTGGGAGCCAAAGCAGTAGGAGCCATGGTTGCTGAGAAGGAGCCCTCAAGTCCATGCTGTGTGCTGAATGGAGCATTTTCCTGCATAGGATTTGAGCAGCCTATGAAGATGTTGTCAGTGAAGTGGACTGTGCTCTGGGCACATGAAAATCAGCAAGGTCTGGGCATGGCTACAATCTGGCAGATCTTAGTTACAAAAAAAATGCTTAAAGACCACAAATAACCAATTTGTTTATGTAGATAATGTGTTTATTCCAAGTAATGAAAAAAATAATGTGTTGTCCTGTGAACAAAATAATGGTCTATAATTTCCACATTATCCAAGACTTGCTAGCACTATCTTTCTTCTTTGTGTTAATGTAAGCCAATCACTGAGAGATACATATTTCCAAGGGAGATTAATTTTAGAATTCTCCTGCATTTGGTATCTGTAGATTTTTGTGATACAGGATTCTATAGTTATATAGTTAATAATGATCATTATTATCCAGACACTGATATTATAAAAAGATAATATATCTTCATGTAGCAAGAAAGTCAGATAGTCTATAGGTAGGTGCTGGAGCCTGCCAGCAATGAAAGGGAATCCTGAATTAGGGGGCAAGGACATGGAAAAATAAAGACATATGACAAAGGATGGTGTTGGGAGGTCTGCAGCTCAAGACTACAGCACCTTTTATTTTTAACTTTCTTTATTATATACTATTAGAAGTCAAGAGGTAACATAAGGTTACCATAGTGCAGAAAAACAAGGAAAATTTTAATAAAAACAAAGTGCAGTAAAAACAAGACAAGGTCAACTGGTAGAAAATAAACTCTAAAGACATAACAAAGCAATCCTGGGCACCTGGTGTTTTTCATGAAAGCCAGTTCCTTGCATGTGCCTTGAAGTGAGCACAAGGGTCAAGATGACCTTGGAGCTTTACTGTCAGCTCCCAACATCTCCCCCGTCTTTGTTTGAAGAAGGGAACCCGCCTGTCTTAGGTTGGGTG